TCATATTTCTTTTTTAGGTGTTTGCAATAAAAGTAATGATGGTGAGTAAAATATTAAATAACTAATAGACTGCCATAGTGATACTCTCTGTTTCATATTCATTTGACAGAGTAAAAAAATGATGGGTGCAATGTATTCCTATAAAGTAAAAGTATTGTTTATATATTATTTTTAGGTTCGAATGATAAAATATGTGGTGTTAAGTTCGATATTATTCAGTTAAGCAAAAACATTATTCATATCTGTTTGTTTGGTTTTTGCAATATAATAATTAATGGTGAGTTCGGTATGAGTTAAGTAATAAGAAAGAATATTCATTTCTCTTGTTTTAGATTCATGTGATATGGTATAGAATGGTGAGTTTGATTTAAATTTAGAAGTCAGAAATTATATTTGTCTCTTTTTTCCGGTTCACATGAGCAAATGACTGTAAGTAAGTGCGATATTGATCAACTAGTAGAAGTCATCTTTCATATCTATTTTTAGGTTTTTTGCGATGCAATAAATTATGGTGAGTTCAATATAAATTAAGTAACAAAAAAACAATACTCATTTTTCTTGTTTTAGAATAATGCATAGAATAAAAAATGGTGAGTTTCATTTAAGTCTATAAACTTACAGTATGATTTATATCTTGTTTTTTGAGATTCGCATGATAAAATGAATACAGGTGAGTTTGATATTAATTAATTGAGAGAAAAGAAAACATTATTCATATATCTTTTTTAGGTTGTTGTGGTATAAAGATAATGGTGAGTTCGATATAATCTTACTAAGAAGAGAAAGCAGTGATTTCTGTTGTTTTAGATTCATGTGAGAAAGTAAGAAAAAAACTGGTAAGTTAGATTTAAACTTAGTTGTTAGATTTTATATATGTGTCTCTTGTTTCAGCTTCAGATGATAAAAGAAATAATGATGATTTTAGTTCCAAACAATTAATGGGTACCATTATTCATGATGTTTGTTTTTTAGTTTTTTGCTACAGAATGAATCATGGTGAGTTCGTTATACATGAATTAACTGGAAACAATGTTGATATCTCTTGTTTTAGATTAGTGTGTCTGAATCAGAAAGGGTGGGTTTGATTGAGTTTCATAAATAAAATCATATATTTCTTGATTAGATTTAATTATTAGAGTACAGCTGTACAAGTTTGGTTTATTGGTATTAGTTGCAAAGAGATTTCATGTTGGTTGTCTTTGGTTCTTGTGTTTTCGGATAATTAATGGTGAGTTCAATTGCATACGAATGAGTGTTGATTTTCATTGTTATGTGTCGTCTAGGTTGCACTGGTATTAATCTTAATGTTGTGTTGAACTCAAAAATGTGAATAGAAATTCAAAATTATATGTACGATTTAAGTGGATCTTGGAAAACAAGTAACGGTGAGTGGTTTTTTGATTTTTCAATTCGTTATTATCCTTTTGTCTGCTCTCAAGTCCCGTAGATAACACTGCATGGATTGATCTGAAAAATCTAAGTTCTATCCATTAAAGTTATCTTTTACCTCATCTGATATTTATTTTCTGGAATCAGTTGTACCCTGTTGGAATATTGAGGTTATAATAGACAAAATTCGTCTCATGATTCGTTTGACATCTCCTGTTATAGATGACGATGAGTTTTCATGTGAGAATCTTTCGTCCTTTTTGAGTGAGTTATATTTGCACTACCCGTATGAAGAAGTCGATGAATGTTCGTACTGTTGCCTGGTTACATAAGTTACATATGAGATGTTTGAAGCTTAGGTGGAATCGTAAGCAGAATCAGCCTCTAAAAAGTCTTTTCTCTTTTGTTCTCGTTCAATTCTTGTAAAATGCTATCGTTCCATAGTTTGTTCCTGTGTCCTACCGTCGGATGTGTCTTTATAACATAAGTTATGATGGACCTCAGAGGTACATTTGATGCAACTGTTCTGAGCTCCTGTTTTTGAGTAGAATTTCATATGTCACACAGGATCTTCCTTCTATTTTTCGAATTGAGTTGTATTCTGCAAAATATTTGAACGTCTATTTCGATTTCAAGCGTTACTCTTGAGCATTTTAACATTCAGTTAGTTTTCTTTCATTTCGTGAGGTGCAGTATCCTGTGTTTTATGAGCTTGAGACAGTTGAATTCATGCATGATCGCACGCATAGATCTCTTCCACCTTAAAACGTCTTAGAAAGTACTCTTGTTTACGTCTTAACAATGTAGAAAAACATCTAATTGCGACTGATATTCACGGATCCCAACTATGAGCTGGAGTCAATAAGGAATGGTAAATGTGAGCTGGTTCTGAAGAGAAGAGGGTTTAAACATTAAAGAGTCTCAGCTTAGTTTAAAAGCTATAATGTTAACGTCCAATTTTTCTGATCATGATCTATTCTCCATCGCGGTCCAGACTATGAGTGTAAAATAGGAATTAAAGCTAAGTCCTAACTGTTTTAGGAAATGAACCATTTAAATGTTAGAGATTTACAGTGTAGTGGAATAAGAATCACCTTGACGTTCAGTTCGTCTGTTTGTGATACGTTGCGAATCGCAGTTCCTGATTGTGAATCAGAAACGATAGAAAATTGTTAATGTGAAATGGTTTCAAGAAGCATGCCATTTAAACGCTAAGTTTTTCCGATATAGTAAACAAGTTGATCGTTTTAACGTCCAGTTTCTCTGAACGTGATCGGTTGTCAATTGAGGTTCCCGACTGTCAGTCAGAAACGGCTAGAAATCATAAATTTGAAATCGTTTCAAGAAATGAGTCATTTAAACGCTAAGCTTTTTCGACATAGTGGAGAAAACGATCGTTTTAACGTTCATTTTTATTGACCATGATCGGTTGCCAATCGTGGTTCCCGATTGTGAGTCAGAAATGGTAGAAAATTGTTAATGTGAAATGATTTCAAGAAATATACCATTTAAACGTTGAGTTTTTCGAACGTAGTGAAGAAAAGGATCGTTTTAACGTTCATTTTTACTGACCGTCGCCGGTTGTCAATCGCGGTTCCCGACTGGCAGTCAGAAACGGTTGGAATTTATTAATGTCAAATTGTTTCAAGGAACTTGCCGTTTAAACGTTAAGTTTTTCTGACATAGTGGAAAAAGGATCGTTTTGACGTTCATTTTTACTGACCATGACCGGTTGTCGATCGTGGTTCCCGACTGGCAGTCAGAAACGGTCGGAAATCATTAATGTCAAATTGTTTCAAGAAACTTGTCGTTTAAACGTTAAGTTTTTCCGACGTAGTGAAAAAAGGATCGTTTTAACGTCCATTTTTACTGATCGTGATCGGTTGTCAGTCGAGGTTCCCGATGATGAGTCACACACGGTACGGAATACTAAACGTGAAAATGATATTGTATTAATGAAATGAAAATATTCAAATTTCATTAAGCATGAAAAAGAGACCGTTTTCACGTTCACTTATACTGGTCGTTAGTGACACACAGTTGGGAACCTCGATTGACATCCGGACACGGTCGAAAATCTCTGCGCGTTTAAACGCGTTTTTTCATTTTTTTGTCTGCCTGGGTAGGTGTGCGTGTGGGTGTGCGTGTGCGTGTGCATGTGGGTGGGTGTGGGTGTGGGTGTGGGTGTAGGTGTCGGTGTGGGTGTGGGTGTGGGTGTGAATGTGGGTGTGGGTGTGGGTGTGGGTGTGGGAGTGGGTGTGGGTGTGGGTGTGGGTGTGGGTGTGGGGTGTGGGTGTGGGGTGTAGGTGTGTGGGTGTGTGGGTGTGTGGGTGTGGGTGTGGATATGAATGAAGAAAGAATACATAAAACTCCATGCCCACATCGACACCTACACCCACACTCACACCCCCACTCACTCACACCCGCACCCACACGCACACGCACACCCACACCCACACTCACACCCACACCCACATTGTGATGAGACGTTCATCGGTGTTGTAGAGTAAAATAACTGGGCCATTTTTTCCACTTTCGACGAAATCAATAATACGAAATATCAAATGTTTAATCTCCGTCGAAAACTCATGACCTGTTGGCATAGTAACTGAAGTTTTTATCTAAAATAAACGTTAGGGGCAGATATGAGAGGAGCTGCTGTCGTGAAACTCTTGGAATGATAGAAAGATGAGAGAAAAAGTAGCAAGATACCGTTAAACTAGACTTCACTAGATCTGATTTATTTAGTTCTACAGAGAAAACCTCGTCTGAACTCCAAATAAGCGCGCTTATGTTGGTCAGCGCAGTAAATAGCCTATATTTTGAATTTTTTTCTCTTCACTAGCAAAAAATCTCTTGTGAGTGTTCACTCAAAAAAAAAAGGCTGTAACTCTACGAAGGAAGCAAAATCGAGTGGTTGCTTGGACACCATTTTGAAGAGTGGTCTCTAAAGGAGTAGGCCTGCAAAAAAAATAAAAAATGGTGTTTTCTTTCGAAAGCCTCAGTAGTTCGGTCAAACTTCGTCTTCTGAAACCAGTATCGAAAGCAGTTGAAAGAACTTCGATTTCTTCATAGATATACGTCCCCTAGACCCCTCTATCGAACGGTGAAAGCCACAGTTCTCTAACTATCTTTGCTCAAAAGTTATAGGTATTTTGCCTACTAGCCTTTTTTTTAAATTCCGATAATCGTCCGATATTCTGAGGCTAGTGCCACTTCGAGCACTATTCATAGAATAAGTTGTAGAAAGACGTGTTCCAATACATATTTAGATAGCAAGATATGTGAATGGTTTTTCTATGCACTTATAACGGTAGCATATAATCTAAGTGGAAAATATAAAGTACTATACGCGTGAAAACGAATGCAACATTTATTAGCATGTAATGAGTTAGTTGCTGTTAAATAGACAACCAGCCGTGAAGAAGCATAAAAAATTTAACGCGTTTTCATGGGTTTCCGAAACGTAACGAAAATTCAAGAACGTTTTTTCGTGAAACTTCGTTAATTTTTTTTTTAACTCTGTTTTTTTGCATTAATTTCAACCCTCGTTTCGTTACACGTCTTTTATTATTTTTACATGGGCACACCCACACCCTTACTGAAAAAAAATACTCAATGGGAAACTGTGTCTTTAATCTGGAAAAATATAGTTCTATCGGATATACTGCAGCATAAAAAGCGAGGTAGTAAGGGAGACATCTTTAGTTCTTGACACTCCAATATTGCCTAGAACGAGGCATTCAGAAATTGTGGTTCACAATAACTTTCCCTCAACTCATCGTGATCTACCTAGTAAAAGGATTGTAAATTCTTCTATCAAGAGGGTTTGAAAAGGTGTCGAATAGGAAGGATGGCACCCTTAAGCAAATGATCTCTTGTTAAACGATTTTTGCAAACTGGACATTGAGGAGGGATCAAAAAAATGCTATTTGTACCTGACCTTGTTTTATTGATAAACCCAAACAGTACATAGTTCTGAAATTAAAAATTATATTGTCATCAGATGAAAACAAACTAAAACTTTGTAATTTTTTGCATCTGATTATTTATCGTCAAGAAAATAAATGAAAACTTAACTAAATGTTTTTAAAAACAACCGAATTATTCATTTAGATGAAATAGAATTTTATTTCTATTTCACACTTTCATTTTATTTCAGCACCACTACGTTCAACTTCAACTAACATTGATTCACATGCTAAATGGATACAAAATGGTGTCACTGTGGCTGGAGGAAATGGACAAGGCAGTGACACCAATCAAATCAATCAACCATTTGGCTTGTGTGTCGATGATGATGAAACAATTTATGTTGCTGATTGTTCGAATCATCGTATTGTGGAATGGAAATGTGGTGCAACGATCGGCCAAATAGTTGCTGGTGGAAATAAAAGTGGAGATGGTGCTCATCAGTTAAATTCCCCAACGGATGTTATTTTCGACAAAGCGACAGATAGTTTCATCATTGCCGATTACGGAAATAAACGAGTAGTTCGATGGCCTCGTCAAAATGGCACTAATGGAAAAACTATCATCTCAAATATCTCTTGCCACGGTTTGACAATCGACGAAAAGGGTTCTCTTTATATCGTTGATCATGAAAACCATGAAGTGAGACGATATTCAATTGATGACACTGAAGGAACAGTGGTTGCAGGTGGAAATGGGCAAGGAAATCAGCCTGATCAACTGTTAAAGCCTTGGTGCGTGTTTATCGATGGAAATCATTCAGTTTATGTATCGGATTATGGGTGTGGGTGTGGGTGTGGGTGTGGGTGTGGG